CCCCCAACATATAACACCTTTCCGCCCCACCCATTTATATATTTGTAAATTCTTGCTTAATTACAGTTAACCCTTTTACAATAAATGAGGTAAATTAGAGTTGTCGAAAAAAGTCTTGAAAGTTCAGAACGATGCCAAATTTGTTATTTATAGATAACATGTTATGAATATACATATAATCGTTTATTCTCAGAATTTTTGGTGATCCTTCATTTAAAGATTTCCAACTGTTCCCTTGAAACCTTATTCTGATCTATAATGTGAAAAACACCGTCGTGTATCTGCAGCTTAACAAGGTTTACATTATCAGACTAAGCCTTTAAGGGTACCGTTGTGAATCAGCTATGCCATTCTGTCACTTGAAAGAACGTTTTCAGACTCTTAAAATCCCTTCTTTATTTGACTCCTCAGTCTTCTAACTAAAACACTACAAATTGAAAAGTTGTATTTATTGTAGAGTATAGACCTAGATCTAAGGGTATAGAATTATTAGTGGAAGAACTATATATTTTGGTGGCAAAAAATGTGATATATTTTAAAATTGAACGTATTTATATTTTTCAAGTTTCAATACTCCCAGACCAATTGTAAACTAAGGGTAGTGAGGCAGTACGCAGAAAATTAAATCCGAATCGTATATTGCAACTTTTTGAATTTGTATAGACGCTGCGTTCTTTAGTATAAGTCGTTTTTTAACAATTTTCTCCTTAGACGCCGTAAGCCTATACCCCCTTTCATTTTTCGCGAACACTCCATTTAAGAAAGAAAATAATAAATCTGGTGATGACATTTTTAATTTTTAATATTATCAATGTTTAAACTTGATCAAAATCTGAATATTTCTGATCCCAAAACCATGAATGTATCTAAATTAACTTCTTATTTAATAATGGAAAATAGTTTTCTATATTTACAATGTAATCAGCAGCAAAATATTAAATAAAAAAATAATCTTATGGCAATAAAAAATATCGAGGAAAAGGTTCTAAAATACAAAAAAGTAAAATAATTGTATTTCAACATTTTTAACACTAAGTTTATTAACTCTAAGGTTTATTAGCAGAAATGCAACATGGTTTTCCTCTAAGATCATAAAACTTCTAAAACTTAAATTGAAGCTTGTAAAATTTAAATTTTTTTACAGTCTGGTCAATTTCCGGTGGTTATGCTTTATGTTTCCAATTGAACGTTAATCCATGAAGTGATTTTAGTTGAAAAACAACTTGTTTTTATGTTATAGTTAAGTATCAATTTTCTGTGAATACAAACTTCATCCCCGCAACCAGGTTAAGGTGTTTTACTTATTATTTTGTAAGTTACGGTTGTCGAAAAAAAACTTAAAAATAAAGTACAAATCACAAAATAAATGAAACATTCAAAAAATTAGATCATAAAATAGATTTTTGATCCTTTCAACGTTAAAAAATGCAAGTTTTACCATGGATAAAAGAGTGTAAACATATATCTTTTTACGCAATATTGTGTTATTATATTGTAAAGTTAAACTGCACGGTATAATATTTGCGTCTAGCCAGGGGGCAACCATCTGGGTTTTCTTACGCAATTTAGACGCGGTCATTTACGCATTTGTTCATTTTATGCAATACATAGATTTGACATTCATTCATACAATTAAATTCTAAATGCAAGGTATGAATTTTAAGAAAAAGTTTAAATTTCTTTTCTTGAGTTTAATTTAAGTTTTCAATTGTGTTCGTCATTCATTTTAAACATTTATTATTAACGCGTTTATTCTTTCATTGGACCAACCCGTCTCATGATTCCTCCAACAGTGTGCTAAGTTTTCGTGAAAATAATCGCGTATTTTCATCTCCAAAGACGATCAAATTGTGCACTGTGCAATTATTTTTTCGGGAGTTGAAAATTTTTTCTTGAATTCCATTAACTTTCTTGTACAGAAGTTGTAAACAATTTAGAAAGAAAAAATTAAATAAAAAGATTTATATATTAGTTATTTAAAAAAAATTATTTATTTATTTAATTCTGATGCAGCCTGCAAGCAAGAGTAGAAATCTCGACTTTGACATGTTTATTCAATTGACCAGAGCTGAGAACTTTTGAATAAGATGATTGGTTCAACTTCTGTGATCTATAGCTAAATCTTGGAATCCTTAAATGTTCGAACGATCTGGCAAAAAATATGGTGGTTTTTACTGAAAAAACAAAATTTTCGAGAGATTTTGAAAAAACTTTCTTATTTTTTTGAACGAATGGCTTTTTTGAACAAACTTTAAAAAACCGATAGTTTTATTTACTGATCAAACGATTTTTTCGAAAAAAAAACTTTTGAAAGAACGATTTTTTGGTTACAGAAAGAACGATTTTATTAATTAGACGATTTTACTAAACGATCATTTAGTCAGAAAACGAACCAAATAGAAGGAAAAAACCCGCTAAATTTGATAACGAACGAGATCATTATTTTTGAATCGAATGAAAAAATGAACGAAATGGGTCGTTTACGAACAATGAACAAACTAATCAAATACGAAATATACCCAGCA